TCAAGGGTAGAAAAAAGGAGCTACTCGTTTCTAGCAGATTTTGTGAACTGAAATGACAACTGGCTACCTAGCTACCTATTCAAGCTGGGTTGAAAACATCATCTTGGCTGACTTTTAATCTGTCCAGCTGACTGATTTTAAAAGAACATTCATGCCCAGTAGATTCCACTGCAAGACATTTAAATAGCCATGCTCTTGTTCAGTTTATAGCTTTTGCTCTCTGTACTCACGTAAAATCTTTAAACATGACCATGCTGCCAAGATTTCAGTGTATATAATGGTAAGGTCATGAGTGAAACAAAGCTTGAACAAACGATTCAGATTATTTACATTTTTATTCATCTAGCTGCACACACACATTTTATCTCCCTAAGTGATAGTTTAAATGCTGTTTTTAATCTCTTTTGCACATCTGGGGACATAAACCTTATAGCGAAGTATTAATTCACATTTTATTTTGTGCAGATTTGAAGATGTAAAGTTATAAAAATAAATACAGCAGGTTTGGATGTTTAAAAAACATTGTGAGAACTGCAGGAAATAAGAAGATAAACTGAAGTAGATGAAGCAGTTTGTGGGATACGGAATGATACAATGTGAGACAAAATAACCTTTTGATGGCATTTAATGCCAGTGGACAACATTTAATATTGAAAATGCAACTGCTTTTAGAGTTTGTGTACTGAAATGTCAGTTTGAGCAGGAGAAGCACTGGATTACCATCTAAAATAATAGCTGTTCAAAAAGAAAACAGGCAGCTGCATTTTCCAAACATATTAGTTGCAGCTTTGCTACTCCCACTGTATCTTTACAGTTCCCTGTGAGATAATGTGTTTGGCAAAATTGCAGACACTGCTTTGTCCTGAAAGCCAAGCTGTGCTGTCACACTGGCTTTATTGCTGTTACGACATCGCTGTGTAAAACAGTTTTCTGTCTTAAGAGCTCGTGTTGGCATCGTTCTGCTGAGTGTTGCTGCAGGTGTAGCTCTACACCTCCAGATCCAGCAGGAGGAGATTGACAGTCACACCACAGATGGCTTTCCTTTATTCCTCATCACTTATCACTTTCTCAGTGATATCCTGCCTGAGGTAAGAAGTGATCAGTGACTGTCACACACAGAGCGATTTCCTGACTGCAGGCCAAGCCCAGGACAATTTGACTGATACGGGAAAGACACATGCAGGTTACATGTAGTGATCATAACCATTTCTGCACAATATAGTGTTTTTTGCAATTTAATTTGAAAACCAGTTCACATCAGAGGTTTTGGTTTAGGTGTAGTTTAAAGTAGTTGTTCATGTTTGTAATGGCTCAATTACGAACATATTCTGTGGACAAATTAATAGAACTAGCTAATAATTCTTTTTTTTAATCATGCTTGAGTGTTCACATACTGTAGGTCCTTTTTTTTTGCACTGTTAAACTGGATTACAAATTTTGCAATTATTTTGTTAACAGCTTGTAATAAACAACTTTATTTATGGCCTTTGTATCAAATTTTTATTACTGTAAATTGAAAACTTGATGCCATGTTTTCAAAAAGAGACTTAGTAACTTTTAAAAAACAAACATACTCTCACATTACATATTTTATTCAATCAAAGGTGGAGTCACAAATTGCATATCTTAGTCAAGTCTTTGAGTTAGATTCCCTCCCAAGGCGTTAAAGCTCAAGCTTCTAATGTGTTTTCACCTTTTGAATTGTACCCAATTTCTTAACTAAGGGTTTTAGTGGGTTAATACTATGTCCATCTGAGCGGCCACAGACCATCTAACATTCCCTTGTTAATTTCTGTGCACCCGCAGAGTCCAAACACAGATATTATTTTATATACTTTGTGGAAAAACTGGAGGTAGAGTGCAAAATTTGTGGACACATGTTGCCAGACACTCAGAGAGTGCAGAAATGTTAAACATGTTACCCTCAATAACTACATTATATTACAAACATAACCAGTGCAGTTATTCTGCCTGTACATCAGCACCTTCATCATATTTTGTTACATTTACACAGTTACATTCTTTGGAGCCTCTTTGGCTCTAAATGAGAGGCAGGAAGCCAGCAACAGACACTGGCTGATCTGCATGAGAATGCCAGACACTCCTGATCAGTGTTCTGAGATATACAGCATCTGCTCTGTGGGTGGAGGCTATGATCAGGACACTGGAGCAGAGAGAAAACAACTAGCGAGTCATTTCTTTAAGGACTGCAACATCCCACTTCTGATCAAACCATGGGTTAAAAGAATTGTAATCTTCCTTTATTTAGCTACAAGTATTTATGTATGTTTTTACATACAGTGCAGCGGAGGATTGAACTTTATAACCTGGCAGCTAGTAACTTTCACCATAAAAGATTCAGTAGGAAGCACATGCAGCATTTTTCTGATTTTGGTGGATCCGTGATGGTTATTGTAAGTCAGGGATTCCGATACTGGGATATGACTGAGAAGTTCCAACTACAGGGATGCACAGAGGACTCTTAAAGGCTCCAGTTTGTAGATGAGGATGTTTGCACATCCTGGCTGGACTTCTACTTGTCATATGGTGAAGAAAGACATTGAAATCTTTATTTAATTTAACTCAGATTTTTGATTTATTTCCTTTTATTCAAGCAAGATGGCAGCCTTACTGATGATGTTATATGTGCATCTCAGTTCTTCATTTAGACTGTTGACATTGCTGGTGCCCACATGTAAATCGACATGATTAAAAGCCTTAAAACCACCACAGAAAGATGTCATGTAGCATCTTTATTAGTCTATGAGCAAGAATTCTGTCCAGTACAGAGTAGTACTGAGAAAATCAGCAAACTATGACCAAAAATGATCAAGGATAATCACCTTTATTGGCCAAGTATGTTACACACAAGGAATTTGTTTCCGGTACAGAACCAACGGCAGCCATCTGCGGCGCCACCTCAACCGATGGCTCTAACCATCTGGGGTAATGGGGGGTTCAGTGTCTTGCCCAAGGACACTTCAACAGATGGACTGCTGGCACCGAGATTCGAACCTTCAGGTTGGAGACGACTGCTCTACCCACTGCACCACTGTCGCCTCCCCAAGAAGTCAGTTGAAATAATTTTAAGGCAAATATTTTAAAGCCTTGAATGTTAAAAATATGAATTAATCTAACTTGTTTGTCAAATCTTTTTTTTTTTTATTAATTTTGTTGTTTCTCATTAGATGATATTAACAGATTTTCAGTGATGTTCACCTATTTTTGTATTTATTTTTTATAACATTTAATAATGTAAACTTATTTTAGATTATAATAAACATGCTTTTCTTTCAAGCTGTTTATTATTTTATTATTTATACATGATAATAAAGTCTCTAAGCTCTGTTTTATATCAAAGAGTCTGCCTATATTGTGTGCTCTTGCTAAGCCCATTAAAAGTTCAACACTATCCTTTCTACCACAAAATAGAACTGTATTGTATATACCAAAACAATAAGGCTGATCATTTTAGTAAGCCTACATTATATTTTATTATGACTGAAACACTTTAATGTGCTATCACTATAATATTATGGTCCACTTTTTTTTACTGAAAGTGGGAAAATTGTTGGCAACAGTGTAAACAACTGATAACACATGATTACAGTAGATGACTCACTATCCTTATCGGAGCAGTAGAGATATGCTGTACACATTCATTCTTCAAACTCTTCATAAAACACAATATAATGATGACAGACTTGAGCACGAACCATTAAATTAGTAAATGGGTTGCAATTGAGAAGATCCTGCTGATTAGCCATTGTAACTAGATAATACAGGGCTGTGACTGCCGCCTGAAATCCTGGTGGACTGGTTTGAGAGCCAGTCGAGATTTTGATCTGTAAAGATCAGATCTGCTGCAATTATCACCTTCTGGCATGGGTCAGGAAAAGGACAAAAAGAAAACCCCAATAGTCACTTTAGGTTTTTCAAGTGCTTATTTTTCAAATGTCAGATTATTCCAAACAGTTTAAATAAGATGTGCCACCATTTCTCAATTTCAAGAACTGGTCATGATTACATATTCATCACGGTCGCCAGCTGGCAGGATATTAAGAACCCACTGCCCATGCAGATGATTCACACCTCAAGAGAAGGCGTCAAGTCCATCTTCATCATCATCACCATCATCATGCTAACTGATGATTTAGGATTTAACAAGGGTTTAATTTCTGTTCTCCGAATTACTTTTCCAACGTATCCTGAGGTTTTCCCGAGCTGCTCTGTCACCCTCTGTCATGCCTGTCTTCACTCACTCTGCTCCCAGGATGAGATGCCTCTAACACAGACATTGTGATGTGACATGCCCCTGCATCCAGGAGAGAGAAAGAGAGAGAGAACAACACAAGAACTTGAACTAATATGACAGAAAGCGATTAATTGATGAGGAAGTAAAAAAAAATACACAGTATTCAATCTCCCTTTCTGCTGTGTAGTTTGACTAGCTAGTACATGACAGAACCACCACTTTTCCCAACTATAAATTACTTTATTGATTAGAAACATCTAGATTGAAGGCAGGACTGAATTGCCACAGTGCCAGCAGGGGATCTAACTGAATTTAAGAGGCATATTTCAACTTATGAACAGGGGTGTCTCCATATAGCTTTTCAATATTGGAATCATTGCTTAATTTGGATAAATTAGCCGAGGCTTCAGTTTCAGCACCGGACAGCTCTTTATTTCTCAGTTTCAGCACCGGACAGCTCTTTATTTCTCAGTTTCAGCACTGGACAGCTCCCTCACAGCGCCACCAAACACTGCTCCGTGATTGACAGAAGAAGTGGCCATACGCGATCAATGGTGCTTCTGGAGCCCTATGAGATGAAGAAGAAGACGGGCTTTATAGCTTATAGACCTACTTAATGCTTGTTGTGGTCGGAAGAGGGCGGAGTACGTTTGTCATCCAAGTGAGAAGCTCCGTGACTCGGTCCCTCTTAAAAATATATAAATATAATAACAACCTGCCCCTTACCCCTCCCTTCCTTCTCGTTTTGATTCAGTCTGTGTAGTCTGCACGCAGAAGGAGGACGTCCGCCGCACAGCAAAGGCAAGACAGTCTCCAGAAGGAGAGAGGGGGGTGGGGGGAAACAGCTGCAACCGGATAGTCAACATCAACAAGCTGTATGAGGCATCTGTAAAGAAGGAGGAATTTGACGAGTTCCTTGCGGTTATTTTCCTCATTTGTTCTTTTGGTTTCAATAACAGAGACGTGGAGCGCATTATCCTACAAGTGGCGAAGATGGTTTAGCGAAGCAATTTGCCAGATTTTTTCCCATTTTTCTTTTTTTTCAGCTTAGTCGCCCTGTATTACAGTACACTGTCATTTCGAGCAGCAATCCCCCAAACATCTGCGGACGCTCGTTTCGGAGAGATGGCTGTTTTCCGGCTGTCGTTGCTGCTGCAAGTAGGATTTGTGATTGGATCACACTATAAATACGCGGAATGGACAGCGCATGGGAAGGACATCAGACCACAGGAGGCGATTTACGACGCTCAGACGCACCGTTGGCAGCTGGCGCATCTCCGTGCGCCGTATCACCCTCCCGGGGAGGTGGCGGTGCTGCCACAGAAAATAGAAGAACCTCTTCCCAGGCTGGTCACGGCTTTTCTCCACACGGGAGACTCGACCACCTTAAAGCACGCCAACTGCACGCGGAGGTACGAACTCACCTCATTGCGAGGAAGGTCACAAGCCACCCCGCATTACTCCATGAGCAGCGTGTTGGATACAGTGCTGCACGCCACAAACTTCCTCAATATGATTTTGCAAGCCAACAGGTCCAGGGAGCAGACTCTCCGGCGAGACATTGAGTGGTACCATGCCCTAGTCAGGAGTATTCTGGAGGGAGACTCCAAGATTCACCGGGCAGTTGTCACTTTTAGCGCAGATTCGTCCGTAACTGGCCCCTCCGTGCTTCTCCAGGCGACGAGGGCGGGTGGAGAGATAATTCTCCAAGACCTCTCCAGCATGGCCCACCGCTATCTGCACAATCGCACAGCAGAAACAGAGTGGTACCACAAAGTCAAAGACAGGAAGAAGCCCAGTTTCCATAAGAGGGTCCTGAGCCAAGATTTTAGATCAGTTGACAATTCTTTAAAAAGAGGAGAGAGTTTTATTCCGGACAAGACGCATGTCAAGTGGTCTGTTCCCTACCTGGAGTGTGAAAATGGGAATTTTGTTCCCCGTTGGCTTTTGACCTTATCAGCTGCTTTCTATGGCTTGAAGCCCAACCTGGCTCCTGAATTCAGGTAGGCACACAGATGGTGGTAAACAAGGCTGGTAAACAAACAAACAAACAAACTCAATTTTCCCCTTCTCACCATTAAACATTTGTTTAAACAGCTTGACACACACCTGTGATGTTATTACTTGTATTTAAAAAATACAGATTCATGGGAGAAAGGCTAATGTCAATCAGTCTAAAGGTCAGTTAATATAGGTTTAACCACCACTAAATCTCAAATCCTCACTCATAAACCTGGGCCTAATAAGATAATTATTCATACCTGTGTCTCTTCTCTTCCCTTCCCAAACATACCACAGTCTGCCAAGCCCCCTCTTGTATTTGAGGGGTAGGGGGGTTTCTTCTCCAGTCTGAGGAGGCAGAATGCTAAAAATAACCCTGGATGTAGCAGTGGTGGAAACCTCTGGCTACAGGCCCTAATTAATTTTTCAGATTTGCTTGGCTGCATGCTTTACTACTCAGGAAACGTGTGCCCTTTCTTTTACCTCATTCCAAAGCGGCGGGCTGCAAAATCTGTGATGAGTCAGAACCTTCCTGAGATGAGAGAAAAGCACAGCAGCCAGAATCAGCAGAGGAAGAAATGCCTAAATGTGTGTGATGTTTGGGTGTTTGGGTGTTTTGTGCATGTCCTGAACCCCCCCATGCTGCAGTGTGCAGTCCTGATATGTACCGGAATAGTCAAGTGTTAAGACTTCATAAGATCCTGACCAACATCGTTCCAATGAATATTTAATCCAGGCCACTAGTTGTGTACTGCCCTCCATGAATCTTTCATTGATTTGCTCAAGTCACTCATGTGCAAGCAAATAAGTCAAAACCTGCAGTGATTACACTGTAATGGGCTATCAGCTAACTTGTGTTATCACAGACTAAAGCATCTGAGAGCAGCTTCACACACTTAGGCTCACTCTTACTGAAGCAATCTGATAACAAAGTGACATGTACACGCAGCTCAACTATTGACAAAGGAGCATTTTTAATCCATTCCCCACCCTTTTCAACAGATGTTTCCTCCATAAAGTCAAATGTGTATGACATGTGAGGGCTTTGTATTTAATGTCCCTGGAGAGTGACCTATCCAGAAGCACTAGAAGAAACATCCCATTGTGTTTCAAGGAGCAGAGGAGCTATTTTTTAGGATCAGTTCAGGGATTCCCTCTCTTACACCAGAGAACATTTCAGAGTATTTTCAAAGTAAGGACATTTTGTCAGTCACATTTTATCACCTCTCTACATAATCTCACTGCAAATTATAGGCCAACAAGATCTCATGACTTATGCTCATGCTAGCTTGACTTTAAGAACTTGCATATTGTAGGTTTAAGTTATCCTTAAATGAATGATGGTACACTTTGTCATCTGAAAGTGTTGTTTTTTTCTGTCTCTGTGAACATAATGAGCATGATTTTTACGTAGCTCTCCATGCAGTAGGATTGTCATATCATTTCCAAATGGTTTCATTTATGTTCAGTCTGGAATACTGCATACCTTAATTTGACTCCAGCTTTTCTGTGGTGCATTCTCACAGCTATGTTTCAGATACTTACAGTATATCAACATGACAGGCAGCTTATCCTGCATGCTCCCTGTCCCTCAGAAGCCTGCCCAATAAGAAACAGAAGAGGAGAGGAAACGCTGGCTATTATAACTGCCTCAGACATCAGCTCTCCTCTGTTTCCCCTCCAGATGAATTCACAATCAATACAACAATGAATTAATAATGAAAGATGTAGAACAACAACCCTGCATGGGCCATCTTGATTCCATCCTTTTAATGCTTCGGCCACCTCCTTTTTGGTGAGATGATGTTGCAAGGACGAAGGTGACTTGTTTGAATTTTACAAATTGACGCAGTTTTCTCCTGTTTTGTTTGTTGAGGACACAAGTGATAAACAGCTAATGTGCTTTGTTAGAGCAGGAGCATGTGGACGTGTTTGCGGCACACTGACCTGTTGTTTTTTGTGAAAGTGTAAGAAATCACACCTCTCACACTTCATTTGTTCTCTTCCTGTCTATTTCTTCAACGGTACTCAAGGCACAGGGGAGGCAGCTTAGACCACACAGAGAGGACTGGCTGTTTTCAAATGTGTATCTGTGTTTGTGTGTGTGTGTGTGTGTGTGTGTGCGTGTGTGCATGCTGTCATTGGAGGTTGAGACATTCTTCACTGCCCTAATTGGCAGATCAATGTCACTTCTGACAAACTTGTGACTACACAGACACACAAATGCAAAAGCCAGTCTGAACAACAAGTACACAAGAGAGAAAGAGAGGGAATCAGAGACAGGAAATAATGTATGTGTTACCGTAGGTGAACACACACTTCAGCCTCACTCTTCACAGCACAGCCCTTAATCGTTTTGAGGCTGGAGCTCTGACAGCAGCGGCCTATAATAAGTAACTAAAACAATCCCAAAAATACAACCAGCTGACAAAGAAATATATATTTTTACAGCATATTTCTCCAAAGGCCGAACAGGTTCTAGTTAGATGGCAGAATGTACTTGGCTTTGCTCAGTGTTTTGCTGTACAAGCAGCCTGGACAGCCTGACTGCTGGGAGATGCCCAGACGTTTAACAGAATGGGAGGCCTCAAGCTTCAGGTGGAGCCAGCAGCATCTGCTTAGATGGACACCATACAGAAACAAATAGGAAGGGAGCCCCCACAATTCCCTGGAGTGTGCTTATATCGGATGGTTTTCTGCAGGAAGATGTAAGAACATTGAAATTATAAGTGCATCTAAAATGAGTGTAACCTTGTAGAGGGCAATGTGTGAGGGTTAAAGATCAACAAAACTCTCCTTCTCTCACTGTTGATGTCAGCCACTAATTGTCAACATTAAAGAAAAGCCTTTCTGGATTTTTTTTAAGTGATATACACCTAATCATGCAACTGTAGGGAATAATCACAGAGACTTTGGAAGCATCCTGCTGTAATTTAATTGCCTGTCCAGGGATTATACATCTGTAATATCTTCAGTGTATCTGTAAGTAATCTGGTAATGAGAAAAATAGAGCTGCAGTACGATAGCGAGGCTTCACACTGGGGAACAGAGTGTGATGCTGGGTCTGGAAGGTTTGCAAAGACTACATACTCTTTAGAGTATTACAGTAAATATCTCATAATAAATATATAAACAACTATAAAAGATGTTGTAGCTTTGAGATTGTTAATTCTGAATCTAGAGAACTGTATCTTAATATCAGACAGAAATCCCTTTGCCCTTGTGTTCAAGTCCCTGTGTATCACATTATAATATTTCCAGCCATTTATCCTGTAGCTGTGAGCAACACTGGATGACTTTCATTTTAAGGGCAAATTGCAAAAGGTTTAGTACATTTTGGGATAGTAAAGGTGGAAAGCAACAAGAGCTAAATGATGATTACTGAAGCATGTGCATTTGTTTTCATTCATAATTAGCAAAGAACGATTTAATTCTCATGTGTCACCAGAAACAGTCCAAACTATTAATTAGATTATGTTATCTGTTAAATCTTTGTCAGCAGCCCAAACTATTTGGTTTGGTCTTTCAGAAGATAGATTTTAATGACGAGTGTCCAGAAGAAAACAAAAGTCTCTGTTTTGCTTCTCAGCTGCTTTTCCTCCAGCAAAATGTCTTTTTTTGAGGACCAGCGACAGAACTCAATAAAATGACTCAGGTTTCTTCAAATGCTGGTAGACAAGCAACGTATCGCCCAGTGGCTAGACTCACAATAGCTTCTCTTCGTCCTGTCAGCTTAATGCATTTCCATCACATAAGAGGCATTTTCTTTAGAAGGGTTGCTTGTTTCTTGCATTGTGATTTTTTCCATGACATAATGAACTGTGCCCTTCTGAAAGGACAGCAATGTGTTCTAGTCAATACGCTCGGGAAGCAGAAATGTGCATGCGAATTCATCTGGTTACAATGACAGGGTAAAATATCATGTCTAAGCCTCTGCTGTTCTTCCTTGTTCACCTTTTAGCTGCGTTATTCTTGATTTACTGGAGATGTCCAGGCTCATTCCACTTGCTTCAGAGGAACCCGCTGAATGCTTAATTTTAGTTTATACTCAGTATATACATATACTGTAGAAGTTCTTGTCCAGTAACTAATAAACCTTTGCATAGCTTTGCAGTTTATTCTCTTTCATTATTCAGTGTCTAGGTTTTACAGTTGTCATTAGTTCACATTCTACTATAGCTGTCCAATACTACACATTATTGCTAAACAGCCAAAAAAAAAAATAAAAGTAAGTACTTAAATAAGTATGCTCAAAAAAAAAAAAAATCTGCATGCATACTAAAACTGCTTGATATTTTTAACTTTTGATTGAAGTAGTCCCACGCTGCATTGCAAAAACTTAATAGTGGACCTATGTTCAATAAATATATTAATAAATACATTTAAAAAATGAATGAATTTAATAAATTGACACAGCTCCAGGAAGAGCTTGAGAAACAAAAACAAAACAAAAAAAAGTACAAAATTACTTGTAAAAAGATTTGCTTTCACTTTAAATAAAGTTCTGCTGCAGTCACACAGTTTGTTTGACATAGTTTAATTAATTATTTATAATACTTGTTCTAATACAGTACTCAGTACTGAAACATCATCACCTTGCATTATCTTTGAGCCCATTACTGCAAAATACTTCAGTAAAAAATGGTAACATAGTATGTTGACTAAACAGCAACACAAGTAGGTTATATTACATTACAGTATGTACTCTCACTACAACTTAGTAGCTATTGTTAGCTACTAAGTTACAATGGTTAACCCTGCTAGGTCGGACAAGCACTAAAAAGGACGAGCTACATTGCTCATATCAGCCTCACTTACAGTCCACGAGCTTGTAATAGAATAGATTTTACTGTTCTGGTATCTGTCTTCATGGACTGTGTCAAAGCCATTGATTTACAATGAAATTAATTGCACTATTATAAAAGTCGTGGTAGTCTCTTTGCCTGAGTGTTTTGGTGCTTTTTGGTGTTGAAATTCAGACTGTAATACATTATCATCAGTGCAATGAGGCTAAATAAGCTAATCAGTCTCAGATACATTTCCTGGGCCCAAACAAACACATACAGCTCACAGTGTACAGACCTGATATTCAGTATTCATTCACATCAAAGACTGTTTCGGAGGCAGCAAGGATGTTTTAATGAATTTCCTTTTGTAGCCTATAAGCAATTACCCAGATATATTTCCAGTTAAATGCTCAGGCTAACATTAGCACAGTCTGACTGGACTGTCAGAAAAACAAGAGCCCCTGCTGGTGGGATGCTCCTCTCCTTTCTGGCCTGGCCTTTAGACCCACAGAGAATGGCAGGAGAGAGCCCTCCCGGGGCACCACTATCTGCTGCTCTCTGTGATAATCTTGTCCTTCATGGCCACCACGATGCCTCTGCCCATGTTCTCCATTTTCATTCTCAAATAATGACCCAGTCTTTGTGCTCTACACTAATTCAGTTGCCACCTCTGTTTCAGGCACACTTGCTTTTTTCTTTCTTCCTTTTATTCACACTATTTTACATGCCATATGTCCACTTTGGCTGGGATGCTGAAGAGTGCCAGGAGAGCTGGAAGCAGAAGAAAAACAAGATAAAAAAGGATAAAACAGGCTATTTTTCTTTGTATGGACACTCACTTTAAAAAGCTAAACTCAAACAAATGTTAATGCTTGAACTGCCATTGAAACAGGCTTTTTAATGAATCCTCTGCCCAAAACAAATGGATATTTTCTTACTCTGGTTGTTTCAGGGCACTGTTTCCTACCTATATTACATAAGTCAGAACTAAAACTGAGGGCATTTTTCAGCAAAACAACCAGCAGTGCAACTGAAAACAGTGAAGCCAGTTTGTCCCAAGGCAAGACTAGAGCAGCAGTTATTAATAACACAAGTAGAGCATCGCACTCACCTGGTGTCCACTGAGAGCCAGGTAAACCAGCTGACATGCACCTGGACAACATGCCACCTCAGCAGTAGGTGAAGGTGCATGTGAGTTTAGGAGAGAAAGTGAGATGGACCAAGAGATGATCTGACATCTGAGAATATCTTTCCTAATTTGTATTAATCAAGTAGTTCTAAGCGCTAACAACTAATAAATATGGTGATTAGACAGCAGATCATAACATTTAATATTGTAGCTCTACAAAATGTTTTCCCCCCTCTATGCCAATATTCGGTGTCATTCTCATATCTTACACGTCTGTAAATTCCAGTTTATTTCTAGATAATTTTGTGGAAGGAACCATACAATTAGGCACTTCCAGTTATTTCTAAATGCTGAGTTTGCACAAACCTGAGGCTTTTATTCAGAGGACAGAAGCAAAATGTCAAATTTGTCAACAAACAACCATCCAATTCAGTGTAAATGCAGACTTTCATTCCACATAATTAATAAATGAATCGTACATTTTATCTGGGGTTTACAGTTTCTTTCATGAAAATTCATCTGGAACCCAAGAATAAAGTCAACACAACTCAGAGGCATAACTAAGAAAAAAATTAGTCTCAGAGCTGTGGTTCTTTTTTCTGTACTTAATATCAAACTGTGGTTATTTCCTGGAAACACTTGAAAGTTATTAGCAAACACTGGACCTGTAAAATAAACCTGTACACCTTCACACATAGTTGGAAGAATGAAGAAGACAGGAAATGCTGTTATCTTGACTAATAAAAGTGCACACATTATTCCAGGAAATAAATTAAATGAAATCCACTGTATTTGTGTTAGAACTGCAATGCTCTGCAGCTAGTACAACCACTAAAGCAGAAAGGGGAGGAGCAGCTTGCCCAACCCGGTTTCTTGTAATTATGATCTCAGTGATGGTTATTATTACAAGCAAGCAGTACAGATCTATGAGTGATATGGTGATATGACTGTGCCATTCCCTCAAATTCATTCATCAAATTTACAGTAGAGTACAGTGAGGTGTGAAGAGGGCTGATCATTTTCCAGGTAATAATGTTCTCCTTTAATATCGTGCTGAGACCACAAAGGGCTCTAACAAAGAGGCACCGATGAGGCAAAATGAGTTAATAATACACATCATCATACTGAAACTGAAGCAAGGTAGAAACTTGTGGAGCTAAAAAAAAAAAAAAGATTGACACATATCCTCAGTGTGGTTCAGGCTGAACAAGACTCTGCTTTTCTCTTTTCTCTCTATTAATCCTATAACAAAATTAAACCCATGTGAAAATAAATGTTTGAGGAGATGCGACAAGAGTTTAAGGTTATTACAAAGTCTGCCACTGGTTCATTTTAACCGAAGCAGCTCCAGGTTTTGTCCAATTAAACAGATACCAGCTGGTTCAGTTGCTGCTTGCATTTATTTTATACTAATCAAACCTTCATTATTAGTGATTTATGTTGAAAATGACATGCTGCTTTCCTTTTATGCTTGTTTGTACCAGTTGCTTTACTGTTTGCAGTTATGATTAACTGGCACTTTGCTAAAAGCTGAATTAGAGAAATGTCTTTTTCTCTTCTTACTGTGCATTAGCTTTGTGTAATGACACTCATACTGTACAGCATGTCTTTCATTAATTTAAAATCAGTATACATTTTCTAATAACAGTTTGCCTCAGACTGTGCTCAGTTTTTAAGTAGTTCAAGATTCTTGATCAGCTGCACATTTGAAATGCGTTATCTTCATTTAAACAAACAAGTAAGCACAATTCTATGGTATATGCACTTGTTTTTTGTGTATACACATACGGCATATACTGCATTTGGCTTTTTGTTTGCCCTGTGTGGTGTCAGACAGAAAAGACATATGCCACACCAGCAAAAAAAGACTGTCACAATCAGAGAGACTGACCTTCAGAATCACAGACGCTGACCTTCTCTGTATGGAGCTTTAGGCAGATGCTCCTGCCTGGCTCACGTGGCTGAGTAAAGTAAATGATAAATGATCAATTGGCAGCTGATCATCTCTCTCTGTCATGCTGAGTTGACAGTATTAAACTGTGGGCTTTGTTTTTCCTTGTCAGGGACCAAACAGTACAGCCAAGGACAGTTAAAACTCAAAAAAGATGGGCTTTTTATTGACCCAAAAACATGGAAAAGGACACAGGCAACATCAGTATCAAATAAACTGGACCCTAACAGAGGTCAACAAAGGATAAAGAAACTCAGAATACAGCAAACTGAACTGTAACAAACCTACACAGTACCTAAACCAAAACCAACTGACCTAACAAATGAAGAACATACTGTATATATACAGACAAACACACTCACTAAATAATCTACCAACACTAAACAGACAGTCTGTTAACAAATTAAGTTTTTAATATGAACTGCAAACAAAAGAACAATATATTTCTCCCCAAAAATTAGAATTTACCCAAAGTCACACCGAAGGGAACATGTTTAACATCACACTGGCCATGCATGCTGTTGTCTTTGATTATCATTTTAACTAGAAGTGGGATCCTGACACATTTTTCATACTGTATCTTCTCATATCTATCAGTGAAATCACCTTATTGACTGTCAAAGCATGCACTGAAAATAATATGCAATATAAAGTATATTTTGGCATTTGAATTTTTTGTTAATGTCTAATGTCGGTTAATTGTCTGTGCATTTTGGTGGCCTAGGGACTACAAATAAAAATTAGCTTCATCTCTATCTGATACTGTACAGCAAATGGATTGTGCATTGTCCCAGTCAAATAAACAATAAATACCTCTATTTTAGGAAATAGTCTCCTCTATACACCTTGGAATCAAACAGTAAGGTGGTCAGAAAACTACAATTATGTAAATGGAAAGCAGAATGCAACCCCTATAAAGTATTCCTCACTTTGCAGTGGCATTGGCAGATGTACAACAGCCAGTTTAATGAGGCCCTCTTGTCTTGCAGGGGTGTGGTGCGAGTGGACATTAACCTGCAGGATGTTGATATCGACCAGTGCTCCACTGACGGCTGGTTTGCAGGAACTCATCAATGCAACCTGACCACTATGGAGGTGAGTGTCCTTTAGACAGAAGATTGATCTGTTACATTGAATTGTAACAGACACACATTCAGTCACATCTCCATGAGGCACAAGAGGGAAAAGCACTAAACCTGTGTATCTTTTGATGAATGGATGGTGATGATTCTTCTTTAATGGCACTGTTGCATCCTACTTCCACATTTAAACACTATGAATTGGTCCTAGTTTCTGAAGTACATTTTTGTTTCCATCAGAAATACAGTACAATATGTACAGTAGTTACAAGTGTATAACTCTTTAGCTGTTAAATAACTTTTGTTTGTTGTTTGGAGCTGAGGAGGTGTAGTGTATAATGGATTTGTCAGGGCATTTTGTTAAACAGCTGCTAGCTGTATCTATAAAAACAAAAACAAGAGTGATGAAGCTGAACCAAACGGTAAATTTGTGAAAACAAAGAATTAGCTGCAGAGCTGGGTGATATTTTAATGCATTTGTCACTATGGGTGACCCCTCTTATACATGAATACTATAAATAGTAAACTTTTTTGAATGTGTATTTCCTGAAAATATGACTGTGAACAGGAGGGAAAACTATCTTTGAGTTGGTCTAGCAACTGATGATGCTGTGTTATATGCAAATTGGCAGCATGGTTGACTAAAACTTACTTTAGTTACAATCATTAACACCTTCTGCCTGTTTTCATTGTAACCTTTTATCTGCAGAGTGCTGCTGTCTAGCTCCAGTAGCAACTAGCTTGCTGGTCGATGCTTCTTACCTGCTGTTTTAGTCCCATCGTTAAGACTGATAGAAGACGAACTGTAGATCAGACTGCTTCATAATGCATGTGATGGATTGCAGAGAGCCTCTCTGAATAATTAATCACTCTCTTTGTCTGAGTACTTCCACCTCTCTGACAGTCAGTGCCAGAGACATCTGACACTGTGTGTGTGTGGGTGTGGGTGTGTGTGTGTATGCTGGGTGACTACAAGGGGAGAAATCTGTTGTTACTGGTATAGATTTTAGCTGGGTTTGCAAAATAATTATCTCTGTGTGCTTACAGAGCAGGAGTGTGTTAGGAGATGGCTGAATGATGAAAGCGGTTGTAGTCATGGCATGTTGTGGGATGCGTCTTGTCTGATATGACAGCTTTGTCACGCAGTAGTGTTCATTATTACAGTATCACATCTGCAGTGGCTTCAGAAGTTATTCAGACCCTGTCAGTTTTGCACATTTTATTGTGGTGTAGATTTAATTTTCCATTGATAAAATTGCCATTTTGCTCATCAGTATGCACTCAATAACCCAGAATGACACACAAACCTATAACCCTCACTTAGCCTCTTCTGTGGCAGATGCACCCTTTTGCTTTAATTATCCTTGAGATGGGTTGACATCTTGATTGGAGTCCGCTTGTGGCAAACCAAAGTGATTGGGCATAGTTTAGAAAGGCACACACCTGTGTTTACAAGGTCTCACAATTCACACTCTATGTCAGGACAAAAACCAAGACATGAAATCCACAGAACTCTCTGCAGACCTCTGATAAAACTGAGGCATAGATCAGGACAAGGGTATGAATCAAACCAGTCCTGCGTGTTCTTTTATGAAGAATGGTCAAAGACAAATCTGTCTTTTAAGCAACATCCACACAAAATCAAGAGGTCTGTAATGGAAATCAGAGAAATCAACACTAAAACCACTATATTTTTCCACTTCCCAAACATCTTATTCAGCCAGTCCTCCAATGGGTTGTTAATCCCTGAATGCTCTTTCATTTCATTAGAGAGGGTTCTCAATCCCTCCAATGCCTTAGTGACTGACCCATCTGGGGCTGTGTTATTGGGTATGAATGTACAACATTGATCT